TTTGCCCGACTTCTCCTATTGACTCGATCCAATGTGCGTAGCCCTCAATTATCAAATAAACGCAAGACGCGTGTTTGTGCGACACGGCAATGGACTACTAGACAATTAAGGTACGAATTTAAGCATTCTGATACATGTCTCTTGACCAAGATTTCACGTAAAACACGATGCGTACAACAAAAATGACCAAAATCAACTTCTTACGAAGATATTTAATGATTCTTGATGCGTAAATTCGAACCACCCGCTTATGAAAACTCAATGCTCTACGTGATTCACATTGGGCGCTAAACGTTATCATGACAGTCTCTACGATATAAAAATCTGACAACCTCAATCTTGACGCTTTGGCTGAGGTATAGCAAATTGCTTATAGTTTGAACAACACATGGTGGGAAAAGAACATTGCTCGATTGAGAAGCTTGCTGAAACCGTTGTGGTGCGCCATTTGACTCAAGTAGAGCTTTGAGTTTCTTGTGAGCGGGCAGTTCAAATTCCTCGTGACCATGAATGGAATGAAGTTACGCTCCTTCGTTCGGGAAAAGACGAATTGGGCCGAGTTTAAGAGAAATGCACTTCGTCGCATTTTGGGGAAAAATAAACTAAGGTTATTTATTTTATATTGAACTAGTCGTATATTTTCTCCTATCAAAAATTTATGAACGTGGGCATAGTCTAGAACTTTGTCCGCAATATTGAATCTTAAATGGCAGTATAAAATTTCGAATCCCCCTTTCTCGGTTTAAACTTGATGCGACTTGGCGCAATTATTGAATTGGACTCAATTTTTTGGAGTTGAGAGCTATAATTTCTGGCTCAGCTTATAAACAACGTATATGCCTTAAGTTCAGGCTCGGACTGGCCAATAGGCCAAACTGCCATTGGCAGATACGCCCCCTTGGCGCGCCAAAAAACGCGCCCCTCTGACCGATAGCAAACTAAGAAGAGAAAAAAAATTACGAGAGAATATATGCGGAAAATTTCTTAAATGAACGGAAGAGGAAAGAGTTAGGAGTGAAGAGAAGTGCTTTTACGCATAGTGGTGAACAGAGGTCCAAGAACTACTTTATGATGCGTAAACACTTTTCTGTGAAATTGTCACCTTTTTGTTGACATACAGGCGCCTTATCAAACCCCTCCTTCATTCTCTATGTGTAATTCCCGTAGAAACGATAGCCGGTTCGATTTTTAGACGTACGCACACTTTATGGACCTCATGAGAGACCTTTAAACATATTTCTTCCTTTTCAAAATGACTATTGATTTGGCCATATCATAGCATATCTCGGGCAAACATAACCTTAATTTATTTCGAAATTCAAAAGTAAGAGACATCTAAAGTGTAAACGCGATACAACTATTCTCGCAAGATGGATGTCCACTTTGCATATGAAAAATGTAAGACGCGATGGCGTAAGTCGTGAACTCGCAATGCTCTGCTCTAATTTAAAGCAACATTACAAATAAAACAAACGGAAACGAACACAATATGGAAATAAAGCGAGGGAAAGGATGCGCGTCAACGACGGCGCAGAGATACAACTATTCGTGTTTGATGGACGTCCGTGCTGCATCTGAAAAATTGAAGGCGCGATGACGCGAAGCGTGAGTTCTCAATGCTCTGCTATATGCTGCCAGTGAGGTGTCGCTCAGATTCGGAAGAAAAGTTAAAAAAGAGGCCCGAATACGTCCCTCTTGTCGTCGGCTGTATTGATACTCGTTCTTTCTTCTTTTTCCAGGTTCTTGCCTGATTCTTTTTTTAGAATGGATTTTTAGACCCACGTCTTAAGCTCGTGTAAACCGCAGCACTGGAACGGTTCTTGTGGAAATAAGGGTGCTTGGATGCGTCCAAAGGCTTTAATGTTTTTTGTTTTCTTTAATTTCAGAAGTCAGTCGGTTACTTCAATACGGTCAATTTTACAATTTTTACTCTGTACGATTAATGAATATTGAACCTGAAAATAGCGGAAACTTGTGCTGCTTTGCCAAAGTTTTCTGAACCCCTCTCCACGAAAGGGATGCCCCATCAGGAAATGTCACATTACGCCCCTTTAACCAGCCAAGGGTCTACGCCCTCAGATGCGAGCCAGTCCGACCCTGCTTAAGTTTCCCTTCGCATAAAAAAGTTTTCACGGATGAGCTTGAAATTGGATTGCATTTTCCAGAAAAGGAACCAAGAGCATTCCAATGTCGCTGAGATGGCGCAACTTTTTTTACCTTGCAAGTATAAACTGATAATCTAAACAGGTTATGTCTTTACTCCCGCTAAACTATGGATTCAAGACGAAAATTACCTTCGTAAATTTAATTTTTTGCATGATTTCAGCAATTTTAGAGCAAAGAATGTAAGTTACACAATCCTAGCAACATCGGAATGCTCTCGGTTCCTTTTGGCAGAATGCAATCCAATTGTATAGTTCCTGATTGCAAAATGAAGTCTAATTAAACTGGGTACAATTTTTTCCAAGAATATCACTTCGCTTTAGGATTGCGTTACATTTAATTCAATCAACTTTTTCGCCCGCTGAGAGCGAAATGACGAAGCTTGGAGGCAAATCGAGACTGACCGCTAAATTTATGGCTCCAGATGACCGGAGATATGGAGCGCATTCTACATTAATCTGCCCACTTGCCAACTTGAAGAGTTAGTCAAGGCTCCATCAGAGGTGACGGATCTTGGAAAGTCAGTCTCTACCGACCTCCACTTAAAAGTATTCTGCCATTAAGAGACGAAAGAATCCGACACGGGTAATAAACCCAGCAGGCTGATTGCTGAAATTGATAGACAAAGCTACAAACAAAGAAGACAAACGGGATGTGGAGGGATCCTGTCGGTGGAATCAGGTTGTTCCAATGGACAAAGGAGGTTGGTAATGGACTAACTGACGGCAACCCGCGAGCAATTCTAAAGTTAGTTCATCATTTTCCCTCTTAGTCTATAGGAACCACCCATTTCAATCAATAGGATCCCTCCATACTCCTTATGTCTTCTTTGTCTATTGTTTTGTCTTTCAATGTCAAAAATCAGCCCGCTGGCAAATTTACGTCTGGTAATTTATTTTGTTATTAATGAAAACGTCACGAGCATTCGATAAACTAAAAAATCGTGGTATTTTGGACGATCGGTTTTATCGCTGGATACTGATGGAAAGGGTTTTTTGGGACAAATTCTGAGAGCGCGGTGATTTTCAGCGATAAAAGGGAACTGAGAGATCAGTGGAAAATTCTTGCGAAGAGTAATTTTCGTCAAGTTCGATCAGGAAATCAGAATCTGATATTTTACCGGAAAATAAACCGCGTTGCTTAAAAACATGGGTTTCATTCATTTTCGTGCATGCCAAAAAAGCGTTAAATTACATTATAGAATCCAACAATTTTGAGCCCTGACTACGGCTGATCAATCTTCCTTGCTCATATTTTTGAAGTTTAAAAATTTTTAAACAGCTTAATCTCAAGGCTGCGTCTTTAAAATGGAAATTTTAAAATGCCTTTCTCGCTTCATTCGACACTTTAGAGCAGTTTTTGTAACAAAGTGTCCGCATTCGTGCGACACTCATCTTAAGTGGCGCTAATGCCTCAAATTTCAGTTTTTTAACGCAAGATTCCTCTTCCCATGTTCTTACAATACTTACATTCAGAAAGTTCACTATTAAGAAGGAGTTTTCAAAGTGATCTCAATTTAAAACAACGAGCGGCTCATCCGAGTTGTTTACGTTGTTTCACTGAGGTACATATCTCTTTTACTTAATGTTGACACTTCATGGAGCCACTTAAAACGACCGACACCGCTGAATTGACGGCCTCTTGAGATCGAATTTTCGCTGATAAAAACGCATTTTTGCAGATAAAACAAAACAATTGCCATGGTTGCCACGACAGCTGAGTTTTGACACACTTCGCAGAGTTTGCTCGAAAGAAAAAATCGTCGCTTGGCTGACATAAGGGCGTAACTACACTCTGCAATGAACCCTGTCTTCTATACATTTCAATGCTTTTCCGGGCTCATCTCAATAAGTAGTTGCGTCCTCATGTCAACCAAGCGACGAATTACTGCAACTACGGCAAAAGAGGCTTGATCAATAAATTTCTACCTGTTCGGATTAAGTAAAAAGAATGTGAGGATCATAAAATATAACAAAAGTCGGTCTAATTATGAGATTAAGGAGCCTGTTGTGGGCACCATCTCTGGATACGATTTAATAATTTTTTATTTCTTCTTTGGACTCAGTAGAACTGAAAAAGACAATAAAAAGTGCTCGCTTGCCTTTCGGCAGATATAGGTAGAAGAGGTGGGTTTGAGGAAGAACGTTCTCAGAAAAAAAGCTTCAATTAATTGGATGTATTTAAGTCAAACGGAACTAAGCGCCATCGGGGGAGGAAGGTAGAGGCGGGCTTAGATTGGCAGCGGAACCGGGCATCGGGCTCATTCGTTCCTATACTCCCAATGCTTTTCCATGGCGCTTAGTTCCGTTTGACAGAACGCGCTATCCGGGATTCAAAATTCCTCAAAAGGAACTCAGATTGGCGCTTAGTTCCGTTTGACAGAAATAGGTACGTCCAATTATGAATCCATCTTGTGAAAAAAGGCAACTAAGATTCATGTTCAGTACTTATTGAATGTACATAAACGTAGCTAGAAAAATTGGGGGGGTGGGGGGCAACGGACCCATTTAACTTTTACGGGGGGGGATCTACTGTCATTGAGCAGCTTCATACGATTGCAACATTTGGGGGA